ACTCATCGGCCAACGGGAAATATAAGAAACGCGACGAGATAGACACGACTCGAGAGACGGCCGCAGTGTAGCGGGAATGAACATTACGAATATTGAGTTGGGAATCGACAAATTGTGTATTTTTTACTAGGAAATGATAAATTCAAGTCATAAATTGAGCAATTTGTTTTTAAAATTTTCATGTTAAAAACTTGATTTTGAGTATATATCTTTTTTATTTTCATTACAAAGTTTGATTTTTAATATCTATCACCTATCACATAGACAAGAAAAATAGATTGACACATTGGTATATAGTTTGATGTTGTGTTTATATGAAATAGTTTTGAGATTTCAACTTTATGTTTTTCAAATAACAAAAAACACATCAATCAATTCATACATGCAACCAGATAAAATGAAAAGTGCTCATAAAGTTAAATAACAAACATGAAGAAAAAAATTTCACACTTTCGGAAGGAAAAAATTAAATATATTGAGAAAAACTACATGTTTGTTAAATAATCTCATTTGCAATTTGCATCCATTTTCAATCTTGAGAAAAGAATTTTGTTTCACAATTTTTTTTAAAAAATCAATGATATCATTGCGATATTATTGTATGAGATCAAATTGAAGCAAAACACACAAAAATTTATCTTGAATGACAGTACAATTTATCGTTACATCCGACAATAGTTGATTTGACACGTAGAGAAGACACATCATCAGTGACAATGTAATTTATTGTCAATTTGACAATAGTTATATGCAGTAGTAGATTCGACACATAGAAAAGACACCGCGTCATTGACTATATAATTTATCGTCAAATCTAGAAATAGTTACGTGTTGTATTTGATTTGACACGTAGGAAAAACACATTGTTAGTGATAACACAATTTATCATCAAATATGGATGTATTTCCTGATAGTAGTTGATTAGACATAGATAAACAAAAGATCAAACAACTTTCACATCTAAAGAAGAAAATAAGTATAGAACAGTAACCTATAACCATCTTTAGTTAATTAGAAATAAAGTAGAGTTTAGTCAAGATTGAGTAGTGTAGATGATAGTGGAATAATAGCAATTTGTGTGATAATTAGTGTGTTAGTTGGAAACGACATGTCATAAATCCGTGTACTAGTTAGTGTGTTAATTGGAAACGACATGTCATCAATCCGTGTGCTTGTTAGGTAAGGATTAACTGTGCTAGTTGATGTGTTAGTTAGGAACAACACGTTAGCAATCAGTGTGCTAATTAGGTATATCCGCCATATGACCAATACACTAAGAGTTGATTGGATGGTGGAGATGAGATCTTTTGAACTTGTTGAAAAAGCTATATAAGGGAGAATAAAACCATTGTTGTTATCTACTATCTTCAAAGTCTATATTTCATCTTCGAATATACTTCTCTCTAATCACAAAAATGTGGTTAATTTGCAATCATAACAATTCAAATGAAAAAAAATTGTTTTAAAGCTTATAAAAATGAAAACTCAAAATTTTTTTTGAATTTTTTTCATCATTCAATAATTTGAAATTGAAATTGAAATTTTTAATATTTCAAAATAAACATAAAATTTAAACATTTAAACATTAAAATTAATAAATCTTCTTTGAAATCATAAATTATTGATCTTGAATTATTTAAAATGATTTTTCATAAATTATTGAATTTGATCAACAAATTTTTTTTGTGTTTTCAATCATTTCAAAGTATTTTTTTATTTTATTTTTTCATTTGATTATTCAATAAATTTTTATATTTATTGCATAATTTTCATTTTTATAAATTAATTGAAAAAAATATTTATTAAAAATTTTCAAATAAAATCTTCAAATTTTTTGTGTTTTGATAATTTTTGATATTATTTTTCAAAATATAATTATTTTTGAAAATGTGGGTATTAAATCAATGAGTACTATTGAGATTCACGATTTTTTTGAAAAAATTAAAATTAAAATTGTTCTAATCATCACAAATTTTTATAACTAATCATTAAAGAAATTTCAATTTTTTTCTCAATTTCAATTCTTAAATTAATTTTTATTAAAATTTCAATTCTCCAATTTTTGTGATTATACAATGATAACATTCTTTTATTTTGTTTTGATACAAAACTATTTATTGTATACATTTGATCATGCATGACTATTAACAATGAGTTTCTTTAATTTATATGTGTTTTTCAGAACATTTTTATTCATTTAAATTTTGATAGTGTGAAAAACAAATTCATTTTTGTTGTTGAAATTTATGAGCATTCATTATTTGTCTTGTTGCATAAAAATTTTGATTGATAAGATTTTAATTTTTACAAAACCTAAAGTTGATATTTCAACACTTTTTTCATGCAGAGTGTAGAGAGATGATCAAAATATATAAGTGATATTATTGTAGTGTGTTAATAGATTTGTCTAGTCTATGTTTTACAGTTAAATCAAGAATTGACACATCAAAGAGCAAAAAAACAGATCACAAGATTATAAATAATTGATACTTCTTGTATTAAGTTCACAAGAACATCAAAATTTTAACTTAAAACAAAGTTATTATTGTGATTTTTCAAGTTTTTGTTTGTGTACAGAGCTCTGCACTTCTGGAAAATAAATTTCTAACAAATGCATACATCATCAAGTGTAAATACATAATTTGTTGTCTATTTTTTCCGATTTAGATCTTGTCAAAGGTCAACATTGACGTAGTTTGATAAGGATTTGACACGAACAAAAATACTAGTTGTTCAATTGTATGCACATCTGTCGTGATTTCGGCGATTTGGCTTCTACAAGTCCCGACCAAGTGATCGTAAGTGAAGATTGAAATCGAACTTATTAAATACATTAGCATGCTCTCACAACGTGGTAAGCCTCGCAAATTTTGCGATCGTACCATCTCCTAGGATATGTACGGGCAATCGGTACATTGTTCTCCGTTGCGATGTGGGTGAGTATGTTCTTTAAACATATGAAGATTTATGCTCAAAGGGGGATTCTGATGTTTTGTATTTTTTTTTGGTGAAATAAAATTGTAAATTTTTTAAAAAATGTTAAATTTTATTTCTGTTGTTATATCTTCTATTTGCACACAATCAAATATAATATTTATAATAATTTTTTTTTTATGATCAAATTTGATGTTTTTAATTTTAAGAAATAAAATTTTTGATTTTTTGAACAAAGTAGCTCTGCAGATAGTGCCCAATCAACCGTTATGAATTGGGTTCACGAGTGTGAGAAACATGGTATCCTCAAGGAGAGTGTCTTAGTGGACTACGAGAATTGTTTGGAGCCACGTTTTGAGGGAGAAATGGCAAGTCCGAAGAAGTTGAATGAATTTTTTAATTTTGTCAAATTTTGATATTTTTGATATTTTCAATCAACATGTCTGAAATTTAAATATTAAAAAATTTTCAAAAATTTGAATATTTGAAAAAAAATATTTTTTTCACTTCAGAGTGTTTCATATTAAATTCTTCAAAAGAAATAATATAGAAGAAAAAGTTGCAATTTTTAATCAATTAAAGCTGAAGATCGGTTTTTTAAAATTTTAATTTATTAATCAAAATATTTTGAATTTTAAAATTTATTACTATCAAGTTTAATTTAATCCAAAATTGCTAATTTGAACAATTTAACAAAGAATTTGAGTTCATTATTTTAATTGCACAAATTTCCAAAATTTCTTCTCACTTTTTCAAATACAATATATTCATTAGCCAAGTGTTTTTTTCATTTTGTTTTTAATTAAATAATTTATGTCTAAATTTTTTTTGCAACTTAATTCAGTGTTTTGTGACTTAAACAAATTGCTATGCATTTATATGTAAATGTCTAGACTCTTTGATGTTTAAAGTTCTAGCTAATTGATTGTTTATTGAATATATTATTATTGATCTTGTAAAATCTAATACGAGAAAGTCACGACTCGTGAGACGGCCACGGTGTAGGGAATGTATATTACAAATATTGAGTTAGGAATCGACAAATTTTGTATTTTTTAACTAGGTAATGATAAATTGAAGGCATAATTTTCATACACATCTATGAAAATTGGTTATAAAGGTAATGCATTTTATACTTTTGTTTGTAATTAAAAAATTTATTAAATAAAATTTCGATATTTTAATGTTTTTTTTCTCAAACCCCCATAATTTTGAACATACTTTTTGAGTTACACTTGATAAAGAAAAAATTTTGGTATATTTTGGAACATGCTTTGCATCAGGAGAAATTATATGTATACAAACGGAATTTATCAGTAGATATTTAAGTTACTAAAGTTTAATAATCACTAGCATATATTTTTGTGATTTAAAGATAACGTGGTGTAAATAATTTTAAAATAGAGGATTCAATTTTCAAATCTTTAGATATTAGTCATATTTGAATTGTAGAAGTTACCCATAACAAAATTTGGTTTAGTTTGTATTTGCCGAATTTAAACAATTTAGCAAAGTATCATTCATTTACTTCACTTTTTTTATCGTAAATCTTGAACATTTCTTTTGAATTTTCCGAGTACATCATTATGTCATTTCAGTGACCTCTAACACAAAAGTTCACACAAAGTTTTACTACATCCATTTTACTACTAAATCCCGGGGACCAGCCAACGCTGCTGGATTGAGAATAGTCACAAGATGGCCGGCCGCGACTGTCAAGAGATTGGTTTATGAAAATTTGATGCAATTGGGAAAAAACCAGCACTTTCACCAACGTGACAATGCAGTTTTATATACTTATATGTTTTTAAGGTAATACATTTTACCTCTTCTAGAAGTGTAAATCTACTATTGCTTGACTGAATAATATATCACTTTTTTCCTTCTTTGAGTCTAGATTCAGATATTTCATTTCTTAAAAATGATAAAGATGAAAAAGTATGATATAAATTATAATTCACACAAATTTTAACAAATCATCAATAAAGTATTAATGATTTAGTTTTTTAGAGTGTGAAAGAGTGGAGGAGGATAGATCTCGCTTGCATGTGAATATAAATTTGATCAAAATTCTAGTAAAGTATAAATTTCAAAGCTTAAGGGAATTTGGTGCATTGTTTTAGAACACTATGTTCAATTAATTTTGAATTCTTAGATTTTGTGAAAAATCATGTAAATTGTCACAATAATTGTATATACTATACGTTAACTCCAGAGCCAAATCGTATCAATTAATGATTCTCGTCCACAGCTGCTGGTGTCGCATAATGTCAAACCATAACAAGAGCGTGAAAGGCTTATGATATGATGGTTCTTGTTCAAGAGAACTCTCGTATTTTGGTTATGGAAGCAGCCTTCAGTTCGTGCAGTTGGTTCACATAACAAATGTTTTGTCATTCAACAAATGCGTCTAGGCGAGGTTCAATGTCCTCTGGATCCATAAAGAATTTTAGTAAGGGTTCCGATCAATCAACGTTCTTCTGCATGTCGTCCCATATAAGGATTGTGTAAGGTGTAGGAGTTACAACAACCGTGAACCTTGTGGCTGTCTTTCTTTCTGAAAGAGCATTAAGTATATGATAAGCATTCTAAAGCTAAACCAAAACCGCGGATGTCTCTTCAACAGCAAGAATAGTTTGACAAATAGCTTCTGAAACGAATAGCTTCTGGATCTTCTCAAACGAATCCGGAACAGCCAAGAAGGTAATGCTTAAAACGTTCAAATGTTAGTAAAACGGCTAACAGCTACCTGTGAGACCATCATGTCACAGTCTGACTTTCCAGTTAATTCTTATTGTTTGCTTAGAATAAGGTATATATATCCCTCCCCTTATGCTGATTAGCTTGAAACCCACAGTGGAGTGAATATTGTGCCAAGACTGATAAAAACTCCAGGAAACATCGCTTAGATTTGATCAGTCATATCACAGGTTTGTAAAAAGAATGAACAATCACAGTTGAAGGAAATAAAGAAGTGCGAGGTTCAGATAAACTATCTCCGTTCTTGCCTATTTGACGCAGCTATCCCTGGTAACTTGAAAACTGCTATCTGACGAGAGTCGTGATTGGTGAAAATACTCCTCAAAACTGAACAACAATTGTCTCCGCTGACATATCCCAGATTCCTAAAAAACTGCTCTATACTATCTACAAGTTTTGAAGTGATCATTATCCTAAGTTAAGATCAAGTCCTTGGACTTCCTGTACACTTCTGGTTTCGGACAGAAGAGAAGTGAGATGATTATGTACATATGTAAATACTTACAAACTGATATCGAATCGAGGTTCAACCAAATGCAAATCACAAAGGTCTTCCTCGAAGATGGGAGCAGCTGAATGATACGACTCCGATTCAAACGTGGAGTGAGATGGCAGCATTGTCCACGAATGATTCTTCATGTCAAATAATGCTACATCCCTCCATGAATTTGCTACACAAACATAATTCTTGTTGGCCGCACACACGAATTGTTTTTGCGAATTGTCTCGGTTGAGTTCCTCCAGTATAAAAATAGGCATCCTTCGTACCTCGACCCATTCATTTCTAAGTGTCAAGTATTCTGAGTCCTGTGAGTATTTCATTGTCTGTAACTTCCAGAAGCAAAATTCCTGTAAAACCTTGCAATGTCTGTGCTTCACCATCTCCCATCTGACCCTGCCGCCAGCCACCATAATGTCTTCATTCAGATGGAACAGAGTGGCGAAGTGAAATGGGTACGGCAGCGAAGGCTCATCGTCGTCTCCAACCCAAGTGGGCTCCTGGAGCCAGTTCGTGCTCGAATTGTCCTGTCTGTATGCACGAAACATTTCATACTCCATTATAGAGAGCATACTTCCGAGGCACAAGAATCTTCCTCCACACACCGAAGGATGCTGGAAAAACCTCAGTCGATCCCTCAGCCACCTTGCGATCTGTTCCCATTTACTGCTCCGTATATCCTGAATGATGATGTTTCCTGAGTTGTACTAATACGAGAAGCCAAATACTTGTAAAACCGAAGAGCGTTGAGTCTGAACGTCACCTACTATGCATGTAGATATACACGGCTAGATTTGGCATTATGAAAATCATCTGTCACAAGGGTTTTCAACTCAAATGCTCTTCATGACTGCAAGCTATTGGCAGTGTGATCAGAAAATCATACAATAATCATGGTTATAATAGAGATTGAAAATGATTCTCTTCACATTGGGAAAAGTGAGAGTATATCACCCTCTTCGACTTGATAATTGGTATTAACCACGTCCCGGGCAGCCAAACTTTAAGTAACTTTTCGAAATTTTATTAAAGACCTGCTGTGATATAACTCGAGGATACAAAAAGTTAAAACACACAGTTACTATACTCTGCGGCTTCATCACAAATCACAGTCATGGATAGACGGAACGAAATGAGCACGTCATCTTCACTTCCACTGCAATCCTCATGCCAATTCTTCAAAGGGGCCTTCTCTTTCAGTCAGGCTTTAAGATTTCACTGAATCGTGTATCCTGCAGGAACATGGTTACATTAATGGTATGGACTCTTCAAAGAGTCGTGATTCGCGCAGGTAGATGTTGTTCAGAAAGTCCTGCAGGCCCTGGAACAGCGAGGCGATGAGCACCTTCACCATGCGAGGCTTGGCGTGATGCTCGGCCGTCAATTTCTTGGCGCACCCGGCGAATTTCGCCTCGCCCCAGCTGGGATCGTCAGGAGTGGCGGGGCAAACCTCGGGCAGAATATCATTCTCCCACAGACACCGAGTGATTCGGTCGTTCACCAGATCGTTATTCTCCTCGAACTCCTTGTCGCCGCCGAAGTAGCGCACTTGAATCCCCACCTGCTTCTCGGCATTCGCGAGGTAGAGCTCGTTCACGTGCAGAATTCGCTCACAGACGTGATCAGCCTGGAGCATGAGCGAGCGGAGCACGTAGGTGCTGGCGATTCGGTCCGGAGGAATCTCTGCTCGGAGTTCCAGAAAAATCGCATCTCAGGGCCGCATTCGTCCGTGATCGCCGACGCGTAGACATGCAGAGTGCCTCGGTGACCGAGGTCGCGGTCGACTGCGGCGTAAAATTCTTTCGACAATTTGCGCTTCCTCTTCACGGCCTCGTGCAATTCGTCGTTCATTCTCCACGACGAGCCCGCGAAGGGCTCGCAGACCACGGACGGGTTGGATGTGGATTCGGGCACGAGAATCATTCGCTGCCACAGCACCGCGAACATGAACATGAACACTGACGACACGTGGTACAGCTTGTTCCCGAGCCCGTAATGCGTCTCGGCGATGACGAATTTACCAGGAAACCCAGTCACTTTTCGAGATTTTGAATTTTAACTCGAAGTCACTTTTTAACAGGAAACCCAGTATGGCGCAGTGGAGAGCGCATGGAACTACCAATTCCTGGATCAGAACCGGGAGGGCAGAAACCGGTTTTCCAAGTTTTCCAAGGTTTGTTTGGGCTGACTTTTCTTTATGTAATTCTCAATTTTTCGAAATGAACCATCAGACACATCATGCAAATGTCTACTTCCTTCCATGAAGCATATGAATGGTAGTGAAGATGTTATGTCTAGTTGAAGTGTCTCACGGAAAATAATTGATTGAAGAAAAATCACTGGAACTGTTAGAGGCTCAGATTGATCGACTCTAAACGGACCAAATATTAGACGAGGGAACCGGCTAAATTACTGGATATTGAAGAAAAAGAACCAGAAAACAAACACATACCTAGAATAATAATCTGAAGTTAAAGAGCTGTAATGTACTCTACACAATTGACCTTAAAACATTGCTAATATATACGGAGTGAAGCTATGGGACAAGAGATGGAAATTCTAATGGAAGATTTCAGTATCACACGGATAACTGCACTGCTGCAGGGCAAAAATTGTTTTGTTTCCTTGAATGTGAATGCACCAATTGCACATCTTCAGCTGCGTGTTGGCATAACACAAATGAACTATTTTGTGAGTAAAATTGATATAAACTTGAACTTTAAAATAAAATTTGTATATAGTAAAACTTTGCTTGATCTTTGATGGTTAAAGTATACTGAAGTGACTTAGTGTTGTACTTGGAAAATTCAAAAGAAACGTTTAAGATTTAAGATGAAAAAAATGAAAGAAATGAACAATAGTGTGCTGAATTGTTCTCCGAAGGGCCGGATATGGCTTGACGACGCACACGATACCCGGCAGGTCTCGTGTCCTTTGGACCAAAAAAGTGTCCGGAGAGGGCGAAAGAGAGCGATGAGAGCTTCAGCCCTACGTATGGTACACAGAGGAACATTTTATGAAAAAGGCTGTCCAGTCACTCCCGACCACGAGCAATTATAAACAAAACCAAATTTGTCATGGGCAGGCCTTCTTAGTTGCGGGATTTAAGGGAGTATAGTCTGCAAATTCCGCAAATAAGCATCGGGTGGAACCCGCAAATACCGTGACGGAGTCTGTGGATGCGCAACGCAAACACTGCAGTCCATTGCAGTCCCAATCGAACAAATACTGCCATCGTGAAGAGAGAATACATCAAATTTGCATTTGAGCATTCGCTGAAGACTTCCGCCATGCCTAAGCCTAAGTTCGTCAGCCATTTCCAGTCCTCCCACGCTGCAGAGTATGGTTTGAAAGTGTCCGCACATGACTCCAGCTTTTGCAAAGTATCTAGTGTCGTGTGTCGCTTTTGCACTAAATTCGATCCTGAAGAGAACGTTGGCGGCAAGATGACACGCATCAATAACGTGAAATACTTCAACACGTTTAGAACTGATGGATACAAGCGCCACCTGGATACTGCTTATGCAGAGCAATGGGCAGAACACCAACGGATCTTAACAAGTAAGGGTAAAGAGCAATTCTTCAAGAACATCCCGGTTGCATTCGTCAATAGGCTTGATGCAGACGTTGAAAATCAGGGAAACCACATTAGTGTTCTCATCAATGAACCCATTATGGAAACTGTCCTCGGAGATTTGCTCTTCAATCCAGATGACATCGAAAGCATGTCTCGTGAGCATGCTCTCCAGCAGTTCAAAAAGCTGGATGCGCTGAACCTGAGATTGGCGAGGAGGGTGGCCGCCACGAAATGTTTGAAGTTGTAATCAAGACGCCTCGGCGATTTAATCTTTGTATAGATTTTGTCGCTTGTGGTGTGTCCTTTCCCATGGCGTCGCGCTTGATAAACTGTACTCAGGCTGAATCTGGAATTGGTTTATATGGAGGCTACAGTGACTTCGTTGCATCCAACTATACTCGATTTGTGTGCGCAAACTGCATTCAGATCCTTTCGGATGTACTAGAACGAGTGTGGAATTTTTCCATCGCATCGGATGGCTCGACACATCAAGGAATGTCTTATTTGGACCTGCGTTTGCGGTTCTATTTCAAAGGCACACTATTCAATTTTCATTTGATGACGATCCCATTGTTTGAGAGTCACACCGGTGAAAACATGTTCGATGTTCTGGTGCGCTTTATGGACGCTGTTATTCGTGATTGGCGGACGGGATGTATTGCTGTGTCGACAGATGGTGCCAGGAGTATGACTGGATGTATTCACGGCGTTGTCACACGAATCCAACAAGTCTGCCCAGAAGGACTAATTCGTATCTGGTGCGGCTTGCACCAGCTTGATTTCGTTATGCAACGCGTGTTCAAACCGGCCCTCGAAGGACATTTCTACGAGACGTTGACGGCTCTAATTGACCACCTCCAACGCCAAGCTAATCTAATTGCTGATATGAGGTCTACATGCCCAAAGGTGTCAGATGTGCGGTGGATTTCAATGAATTCGATGTCAACGTGGCTGGTTAATAATCGCGCCCGCGTGGTGAAGCACCCGAATGAAAAGAAGCCAACCTGCGGTGGATTTCAATGAATTCGATGTCAACGTGGCTGGTTAATAATCGCGCCCGCGTGGTGAAGCACCCGAATGAAAAGAAGCCAACCTGCGCACCCGATACTGCCTGATGGATTTTCTTCCATGCAATGCAAGCTTTTGCAAGAGAGTCGAAGGCCGCACTCGTTTCCCTCCAGGTATTGAACACCATCGTCTCCCAGCAGCGCGCCCGCCTTCAGCAATTGATTGAAACTTACTGTCGCATGACGAACATGCAAGGACCGATTTCGCTTGAGCAAATTGCTGACATTCTTGTTGAGCAGCCAGCGGAGACTTCGGGCGCATTCATTGTCACACACGTGAATGTGAAAGCCTCACTCGATAGGCTAGGGCTGTGGATCATGGAACAGCTTGATGAGCTTGACGATGATAAACTTTTTGTACTAATTGAGTATGTTGGAAAGCTCTTTGTCCAAGCGGCTGATGGCATCGCGAAGATAGTTTGTGAGCGCGACGAAGCAAACGAGAAAACCAAAGAACACCCTCCGGTATTACTGCATGAGCTGTGTCGCATTGACATGAGGCAATTTGTAAAGCAATTGCAGGCACAGTTATCAATTATTAATTTCAATTATCTACTGTAAAATTCCCTTCTGTATATATAACATTTCTTGAAATGCAAAGTATGTATATAAAATCTATCTTCTTTTAAAAATAAAAAATAATTCAAAAAAAATTATGTTCAGAATTCTGAGAGTTTAAAAAAATATTAGAACATTTTAGGAAAATATCTAAAAATACTAAAATGTTGAAATATTATTTAGTAAATTTCTTATTTATAAATAAAAGTTGAACAAGCATTTACTTTATAACTAAATTTGATGGATATGTATGAAATCTGTATCCTGTATATTTCATTATCGAAGACAAAATAACACAATTTGTTGTGTCGTATCTCAATATTCATTCCCACTACCCCACCTCCCAAGAGGTGGCTTTCTCGTCATGTTCTGGATTCGCATTACCCGTTGACCCTTGATTATAATAATAAGAACTAAATAAAAATCATGTTCAAGATTATGGGTTTATTACAATTTTGTTTATATTTCATACAAATTTAAAATGTTTGTTTTAAAATACTGATATATTTATGAATTCAAATGACAAATCTTTTATTATGATATTACTTCAAAAATTCAAATCAAAATTGTAACTCATATGATTCTATCCAAAAGTTAACACCCGGCCTGCGCATCCTCACACTCCCCTCCATCGTAATCAACTTCGTCCCGTCATTTCCCTGCAGAAATGTCTCATTGTACCCTACCCACCTCCATCCAAGAGACCTCGATTCCAACACTGGTATACAGTATGCACGATTGTGCCCGGTCTGGTGACCCGCTCTATCATGCCCCGCCCAGTCTTTTCTCGACGCGTCCCGCTTCGTCCGCCTGGCAGTGACCCCTCCGTGTTTGGCCTAAATCCATCTATCATTTCCCTCTGACCTTAGGATTTAAATTATGTAATAACAATAGTGATAAAATATATCTGTTAAAATAATCATAATCTGTGATATTAATAGACCATAAAAAATTGCAGACTGCATGATATCAATTCTTAAGAGTAAAATGATTTGCTGCAAGATTCGAAATTATATAACATTATTTGTACAAATAATGTGATATAATTTTAAAAATTTAAAAAATTCTTATTTATTTTAATTTTAGAATTTGAAATATTTTTTAACATAATATAAAAATAAAATATCATTAAAATATTTTAAAGATTGCATCTAATAATTTTAAATAGATAAATATTGATTTGTATAATGTAATTGAATATATTTTTGTTTTACAATTGGTATAGATAATTCTTTAAAATTCATATAAGAATCATCTTTTCATCACAGTTTAAGGTTGAGTTTGAACAGATTTACTTAAAAATAGATGTGTGTGGGCAAAGATTCAAGTAAAAAGTAGATTGTGGGGCATCTAATTTCACAAGAGCAATAATAATGAATTAATGAGCAATCAAATGGCTAGAACCTTAAACAGCAAAGAGTCTAGTTAATATATAAATCACAAATTGTCATATAAAAGACTAGCAATTTTTATAAGTCAAGAAACACTGGATTAAGTTGTAAACAAATTTTAGAAATAAATTATATAATGAGTTACTTTGGGTGCAAAGGATTTTGAGCTAATAAAAATATTGTATTTGAAAAAATCAGAAATATTTATTGGGATTTGTGCTACTAAAAAATAAGAATTCAATTCAACTTTTTTGTTAAATTGTTCAAATTAGCAATTTAAAATTAAAATAAACTTGCAAGCTATAAATTTTATAATTCAATTATTTTGATCAATATATTAAAATGTTAAAATACTCATCTTCATGTTTAAATGACTTCATTGATGATGGAGAGCTAAAAGTTAATTGCTGAAAAGAACTAAGAGTAGATTAATGCCCTACAACATAAATGTTTCAGATTATAACATATGAGTATTGATGTTCGAATAATCATGTTAGCTTCTGGATCTATTAAGATCATATTCACGTGATTTAAGAGAAAAAATTGAAATAAATTATCAACAAGTTAATAGTCTCAATGGGCAATCAATTAACTTGCCATCATCACTGTTGCTTAGTTCACATGGATAATGATGGTGGCAATAAACATCAAAGCTTTTTGTCAACATATAAATCACACATGCACATGTGAGTGTTTTGATTCACAACTAGTTTTGAGTTTGATTCATACTCATTATAAGATATGAAAATAATTAATTCTAACAACCTAATAAAATTTTTCATTGAATGTAAAGATTTCATTAATTCTAAAAGCAGTTTGAAATTAAGTGGATTTACCATGATTAGGAGTATCGCAATCTCTAAAGATTTTAAAAACAACTAATCAATCTTCAAGAAATTTTTAAATGAAAAAAAGTTTGCAATTTTTTACAAAATATTGCTCTTGATTTTTAAAGACCATAATCGCAAATTTTTTAATCAAACTTTACAATATCTACAATAAAAATTTATTTACAATAGGGATTTTTAGTATTCTAGTGAACGTAGTGTGAGAGTTAAAAATCTCATATATTTTTGTCTTTAGTATTTTTACGCTTGAATAAGCAGACTTTTTTGTTTATTCTAACAATTGATATATAATCAATTTCATAATGCTTTGTGGTTTTTTCAAAAATAAAAAATCAAACCTCCGAATTTTGGCTATTTTTCAATCAATGACAAAAAACGTCCAGAAGAGAATTGTGGAGTCAAATCAATCGAACCCAACTAGTAATTGCTTTGTGAAAGCAGTCAAGCCAAAATTTTGTATTAAAATGACAAAAATTATTTTGTTTGCTTAAATGGATTTCACATCTTCATCTTTGTGTTGGCAATAACTCACTTGACTTATGGCAGGCCGATGGTTTATTTTTTTGAGCAAGTTTGTTATGGTAATGTTTGGTATTTGTGAGATCTGCAGTGAAAAGTCAGTACAAGGATGAAACTTAGATCAAAGTCGGTTGACTATGTTCCCACAACAGGTGAAAATAAGTACTAGAGCCCAGACACAAATGTGGACTTTTTGAAAAGCTCTTGCCCTGTACTTAGTTGAGCTCAAGAGTTTGTGGCAGAACACAATTGAACCACTTTGTGAACAAAAAGGATAGATTTGAATTAAAACTATAAAATTCAAGTAATAATGATGGAAAGTCTTATATGAAGGTTTAAGTATTTGAAAAGCGTAACCTCTATATTAAAATTACTTAAGATAAGACACTTTTAGACAACAAAAACAAGTGTTAATGTTTATAAAACTTTAGTAATTTCAAATATCTAGTGTAAAAATTTGTCTTCTATATATAACATTTCTAAAAATCCAAATTATGATTAAAAAAATATATTTAGAAATTCTATAAATACAAATTAATGGAATATTTGTTTAAAATTATGGGAAAATTATAAAATATGTTTTTATTTTATGATGATAAAAATTTAAATAAAAATTAAAATAATCCTACTTTTTTTTTCAATTTTGATGGATATTCATGAAATCTATGTCTTGCAAATTGGATAATCTAAAAAAGTAAAAAAAAAATTGTTGAAACTATACTCAATCTTCATTTTTGCTACAGCGGACTATTTATCCATCAAAACATACTCTTTTGGCGGTTCTAGACAATTCTCAATGATCCTTAAGTAAAATAATCATATAAATAAACATAAAAAAATTATAAAAATTAAAGATTGATAAAAAAAATAAAATTTATATTTCATAAAAATTTAAAGATTCTATTTTGGAAAAAAATTAAAAAATTTAATAAGTAATCATGAATTTAATAAGATGAATATCTAATATCTAATTACTAAAAAATACACAATTTGTTCCAAATTTGATTACATCAAAACTTATCTACTTTGCTTGCTTGTCCTTGTACTCCCTGAGTCGGACTCACAACCGCATAGTCTGTCATTTCTAAACACGGCTTAAAGCCATGTCCTCTGTTGTCCCCTAAGCACCTCCCCTTGAGTAGGCTTTGATTCCAACACCCGTATCCAATTTGTACGGTTGAGCCCGGTCTGCCAACCTGCTCTACAAACCTGGCCAAATCCCAATAACTTCTCCACTTGGTCTACTTACTCCGCCCAGAAGTTGGCTCCTCCATGTGTGGCTTACATCGCACCGACACAGTTATTTCCCGCCTAAACTCTACTAGTGTTTGTACTCAGACCAGGACGCATTAGAGATTTAATCATATGATAACAATAATAATAAAATTCATACATAGTTAATTTATCATAATCCATGATATTAATAAATGATTAAAATTTGTAGATTGCATGATATCAAATGTTTTAAAATAAAATTGTTTGTTGTAACATTCAAAATTATATCACATTATTTAGATATAAAATCTTAATAAACTTTTTTTAAAGTGTAAAATTTGAAATATTTACAAACATAAATCAAAAATAAAATACCATCAAAATATTTTTATGATTTCATGTACTAATTTCAAAAAATAAAGTTGCATAAATAAATATTGAATCATAAAATACGATTGGAACATTTTTTGATTTCATACTTTATATAAATAATAATTCCAAATTCACATAAATATCATCTGTCATCACAATTTAAGGTTGAGTTTGAAAAAGTCTGATAAAAATTAGATGTGTGTGAAAAAAATTCAAAGTACAAAGTTGATTTTGGGGTAGTTTATTTTACACGAGCAATAATAATATATTCAATGAGCAATCAAGTAGTCTAGACAATGATTAAATCACACTTTCACATATAAATGACTAGCAAATGGTTGAAGTCAAATACACTAAGTTAAGCTATAAACAAAATTTTGATTTAATAAATTTTCTTTAAATCCTTTCAATGCAAGGTACAGTGTGGTGATAATTATGTTGTATTTGGAAAATTCAGAATAAATTTTTGAAGTTTTTTATATTACAAAATAAAAAGTGAACGCAATTTTTTTGTTAAATTATTCAAATTAGAATTTTAAAATAAATTTAACTTGTTTTAAATAAATTTTATAATTCAATTATCTCAAATAATAATTAAAATTTTGAAATCCTGATATTCAGGTTTACATGATTGAAAATTGTGATAGGTCAGTTTTTT